ATTACTGTCAGATGTAAAAATCAGATTGGACAAATTTGAACATTTTTACTTACACTTATTTCATTTTTTTCTAGATAGTAAATTTATCTACAATCTATTATATTTCCATATAAATATTTATATTTTAGCTCATTTGTGGCACAATGCAGAGGCGGGCCAGATCCAGCCTGCGGACAGTAGTTTGGTGATCCCTGCTATAAGGGATTAGAGTATACTAAACTTTACACATTATGTAGGCTACACTAACGTGACGTTTAGGCGGTTCTTTTAATTATTATATGTGATATACGTTTTTTTTGGGGGGTGGGGGTTAATGAAAGTGTTCCAAAACGTGTCATTAATTTCTTGACGACCTATTATTTTAATAAGTGTTTCCTGGTTTATGCCAAAGAAGAAATACAATAATATTGTTTTTATGAAAAGTTCACTGGAAAATAGAAATTATTACAGAAAATTTAGCTTTACATGTAATGTATAGAACAGAACATTATTCATTTCGAATTTAGTTCAGACATTAAATGTTATATAGTTGAAAAACCCACAAATATATTAAAATATTTTTGACAACCTTATTGATCAAACTGTTAATGCCGAAATTATTTGATAATTTTTTTACATACTTTTCCATTATATATTCTTACACTTTTCGTATTCGTTATCTGAAAGAAAGCCATAGGTACAATAATTCTATTTTAGCATCTTTTACGCATACATTAGCGAGCTTTTACATTCTTCCTATAGGTTTTGGGAGGAGTTTCATACGTCCATCAAGTTATTTTCGCCATAGTCCAGAAGAAGTTGCAAACGTTCTACGAAGATTTTTGGTATCCATAAACGTTCCCAGGTAAATTGTATTTTCCAACTAGATCTTTCTTTTTTTTCAATTTAATACCTAAACTTATGCTTTTTTCATCTTGTTATTTATTCCATATATTGATATTGGAAGAAGACAATGAAATGATGCTTATTTGAGCTTAGGAAATTATTAACACGTTAGTTTTATTCTTCAATATAATGGTACATATGATTCATGGTAATACAAGCTGAGGTACCCATCCTGTGTCCAGGTTATGAACTTGTGTGGGTGGATGCTACGATAAATAACACAAAAATTCTAACTTTCACACAATTTTTTATAACATAACATATTATTACATTATTCGTTATTACCTCACCAAAAGTTTTGTATAATCTTTAAGAACTCAATATGTATATACAACCTACTTAAAACATGGTATACACTGCGTAATGGTCAGGGTGACTTTGTAGGAAGAGGTAGCGGCCAAAGTAGTGGTAGTACGAGTGCTTTCTGTTACCTGCTTTCAACATCCAGCTCTTAATGTCATTCCACAGTGTTTCACGTGATTGATTAATAGACGGTTACTGGCCGCAGAAGAGTCTTACAGACTGAAGTTGAAAGGTCACAGGCCAAAGTAGGAAGTTGATATAACTCAAAAAACGGCTTTTAATATCAGTCTTGTGGTGGCTGTTGAAGTAGAAACTTTAGCTGAGTTTATGTATTATTGTAACAGTGGCGGTCATTCATTGTCATTGCATTCCTCCATAGAGAGTGGTAGTTCACTCTCTGAGATATATGAAACGTATGTTTGGCCTTCCCCACACTGTGTATATGTGGTATTATAGAAAATTTAATAAGGTTATCTGCTGGTGTAAAGACGTGGCGCCATCTATGAATATAGTTAACATACATTTACGTCAGAAATACAAAATGCTTAATAACAACAATAATAGAGGTGGAGTGGGTTTTGAACCCTCTGTGAACATGCTTCTTGTTCCAAACTACCATCCCACAGATTTATGAGTTGTTAGACAATGGACAAACAGACAGATACACATATTTCTGTGCAATACACATTAAAAAGCTCTACATACGTCTAATACAAATTCGATGACGAGGAACCCACTTTGAGACTAATAATGGCTGGAGACGGCTTGAATGGGTAATGAAGAAAAACTTTAATATAAGTTTAACATAACAGCTAATGTACAACGTTTCGACAAGGTTTTGTCATCATCACGTTTAATACGTTTCCAAGACGTGTGACGTTTTTGTTAATTAATGGAGAGTGCATATTAAATCTTCCCCGGTGGGTCAATGGTAAGTTCCAGAACGTATAATCCTAAAATTCGAAGTTTGGTTCACCGCGCTTTATAGAGCGCAGGTAGCACACTATGAAGCTTTGCACTAAAACAAACAAACAAACAATTATTAAATGTTAAATTGATATGCATTTTTATTCGTGAATTTTATGCTGCAAGTTATTGAGTAATCATTTCATATAACCTTTTATAAAACCCCGAATTTGAGCGTTGTAATTCCGTCAATTTACCGCTGGCCCATCGGTGGGCTTTCTTTCTTTCATGTGCGATCATTTTTTGTTTATTTTTTCCTAGTTGTTTGCGAATTTTTTTTATATCAGTCAAGATAAGGAGATGTACATGCTCTCTTTTCTTCAAACGCTAAACTAACATAACTGTAGTGTAGTCCGATTTATACATATAGATAATTTTTTAAAATTTCATTTTAGAGTGGATTTAATGCTGGCTCACAGCGCGGGAATATTTCCTGCCCTAACTCTAATATCAGATAATCCCCAGTTCTTTCGTTCGATGGTGTTGATGTGTCCTCCTGGGTTGAGACCATGGCGGTAAGTAGTATCATGTAATATGCGTTCTGACTTTAAACACACAGACAAAGAAATAAATAATTCTTATTTGACATGATTATTAGAAATTAGGTTTGAGACATAATGTTGACATTATTTCTTCAAGCTATAAAACCCTATTTTGACTCCATTTCTAAAAGCTGCAATATTGAGAAGAGTCAAAATAGGGATTTGTAGCTTGAGGAAATAATGTCAACGCTACGTCTCAAACCTAAAGCTTTTTTGTTTATATTTTTTGCGATTACATTTTCACTTTAAGCTACCTATTTGGGTTTATTTTTTGAAGATCCCTATTCCCCCTTTTTAAATTAACAATTTTTAATAATCATGTTTATTTAGCTTATAAATCTGTATAATAACAATACTGCCTTTTTTAAAACAGTTTGGTTTAATGAAATACGTAGTTGGTGTATGATGCTTTCTCGGGAAACAATCATAGTTTTTGGATTGGCCTCATGCAGATTCGATGGCTATTGCTCCTGATATTGCTATAATGTTATCATTGATAATGGTACTGAACGTATGATCACTATGATTCATAGTGATCATAATATCACATTTTATGTATTTATATATATATATATATATGTGTGTGCTTGTAAAATACACATAGCTACTAAATTTTTACTTTTTAGCTATATGGGGAGTCTGTAAACACTGTATTGGAGGGGCTACTGAACTATACTGGAATGATGCATGGACTGAATTTTGTAATCGCATGAGTTTTATACATGCATGCACAAAATATTGCACATGCAATGCATGTTGGCTAGTATTTATATCTAGGAATATACATGTAGGCTTTATAGCATGACCAGGTGGTTGGGGTGCTCCACTCGCAATCTGAGGTTCGCGGATTCGAATCCCTGTCCCACCAAAAATACTTGCCCTTTCAGCTGACCATAGTAAGGCCAGTCATGGTTTTGCTGAAGCTGGCCAGATATCCTCTTAGAGTGACATATTGCACATTTTACAATGTCGGAAACTTGTTGATTAACAATTATTCATTGATAATATTAATATACCTTTCTCCCTAAATTTCTGATGGAGTTTGTGTCGTGACACTTCTACGACCCTCATCCAACATGTCTAGCTTTTGCATTCCGTTAACACAATGTAAATCAACCAATCGCTTTTTGCCATTTGTACGTTATAAAAGTGATGATCAACACATTATATATATATTTGGTAAGACAAGAGTAGCCCAATAGTATGAGATGGTTGCTGTTCACTAGTTGCCTTCCTTTTAATTTGTAAGTTCAAAATTATGGATGGCTAACACATAAGCCAGTAGTTAGGGCGATTTTTGTCAGCCACGCCACCAGAAAGCGCAATACATGTGTCAACCTCTAAATGATGTGTTGCTAGGCCGCCATGATAGGCAGATATGACAACGGTAGTTGTTCAGAAAATGTGTTGCTAGTTCCAGAGGGCGCATTGGCATGATGTCATAATGATATCATCATAGAATATCTCAACGCGTGATTATATCATCAATATCTAGATTTCATTATGCTACAAGTAAAACCATTATTTTAATTAGAAACTGTTTCACCAGTTTGGCTTTATGCTATCCATGTAAGTTTGATTTTTTTTGTTCTTGACAAAATATTTAATTTTACACATGTTACTTTATAGTTTTAACTTAAATACATTTTACAAAGCGGACTGTTTTTATATAGGTGGATTGTGTTACTAAAGGTAGTTTTTGTATGGATGGATGGTGTTACTAGGCAGATGTTGTTACTATAGGTGGATGGGGTTATTAAGGTTCTATATACGGACCGTGTTACCAAAGTTCTGGGATACTGTTACAATAGGTGGATGTTGTTATTAAGATTTCTATAAGTGTTACTAGATGGATTATGTATGTTTTACAAAGGCGGATAGTCCCATATGATTGCATAGAGATTTCAACTCACATTTAATTGCGTACATTTTACAAAAGTGTTTTTATACTTCTGTAGGACAGCATGCAGGTTTCAACATGTCTCATCTTATTTTCATTTTACTTTTGTTTCTTTAGGACGATAGTGTTATTAACACATTTAACTTACTGCTGAAAAGTTTTACCATTCCTAGCATTTTATATTGATATTGAACAATACAGCCAATTTTTGTTTTAACATACTGATTATAGTTTTAGTTTCTATATTTAAGCATACATTTTACAATTATTTTCCTGAAAAGGACACTTATGTAAATATCATGCAATAATTTAACATAAAAGCTTGCACTTTCACTAGTTTGTATTTTTTCTATCCATTTGACTATGATCTTTATTGTTCTTGAAAAATATGTCATTTCACTTATGTACTTTTTACAATGTTTCTATGGGCCAAATATGTTATCATTGCTAGGCATGTTCTTAGTATTTTCATCAAGACAACTATTATAATATGTATCAGTTTTTATTATCCATTATTTGAATGAGGCAGTTATTATAACCAATAATTTACTTTGTATACTTTATTATTCTGAGAAGGACGCTTATTTACCCCTCTATGTATGATTTCATTTAGCTACAACTAAGTATAATAAATGAACAACTTACTGTTTAACTTACCATTCACTTGATGTTCTATACATAAAACTTTAAAGTAAACCTCTGTCTAACATCAAGACATCTGTTCAAGCCACAATTCACACAGTGATACAACAAACCAACCATGAAGACCAAGGAGCTTTCCAAACAAGAAGGTTACAATAAAATTTCAAAGTCACTGATTATCCCTTTGAGTATGGTGAAATCTATCATTAAGAAGTGGAATGTGCTTCATACCACCCTGTCACTATCCAGATCAAGCTGCTCTTCAAAATTAAACAGCCAGGCAAGCAGGAAACTGGTTAGGGATGTCACTGTGAAGCCAACAGTGACTTTGAAAGATTTGCAAAATTCCATGTCTGAGATAGAAGTCAGCGTTCATATATTGACAATATCCCGGTCCCTACACAAAGCTGGTCTACATGATCGAGTGGCAAGAAAGAATCCATTACTGTAAAAGAATCATCTTAAATCTCGTATGGAGATTGCAAGAAAGCATGTAATATGATACTGAAGGTATGCGGCAGAAGATTTTGTGGTCAAATGAGATAAATTCAAAGCATTACTTCTGGCGCAAGCCCAACACAGCACATCACTCAGTTAACACTATCCCAAATGTCAAGCATGGTGGTGGCAGCATCATGTTATGGAGATTCTTCTCATCAGCAGGGACTAAGAAGCTTGTCAGTATTGAGGGGAAGATGGATGGTACAAAGCACAGGCAAATCCTAGAAGAAAACCTGCTTGAATCAGCCAAGAATCTAAAACTGGTTCAAAAATTCACATTTCAGCATGACAGTGACCTGAAGCACAAGGCCAAAGTCACACTGGAGTGGTGTTTCAAAAGAAGAAAGTGAATGTCCTGGAGTGGTCAAGTTCAAAGTCCTGACTTAAATCTAATAGAAAATGTATGACGAGACTAGAAGATTGTAGTCCATCAACAATCTCCAACAAACTTGTCAGAACTGGAGCAGTTTTTGCTAGAAAGAATGACCAAAAATTACACCATTCCATTGTGCAAAGCTGGTCGAGACCTATTCAAAAAGACTCACAGCAGTAAATGCTGACTTAGAGAGCTGTATACTCATGCAATCAGCAAATTTCAATTTATATATTTTCTTTGCAAGTTTTCCTGATATTCAACTTCCTTCACACAAAACAGTGTTTGATCATTAGAGTTTTGAATAAAAACAAGTTCATTAAAAAGATTGTTTTCATTATTAGTATTCCATCAACATGTAACATTATTGGTAGGAGTGAATACTTTTGCAAGGCACTGTGCGAAGAAAACAAGATCATTTTAAAAGTGGAACGAAGAATTTACTACTACATCTTATAAATGGAAACCTTAGGTCCCCATCATTTTAATGCCTCAACAGATTAAGAATACTAGAAGCAAAAACACTGTTTTAACAATTCAACCCAATGTAAATGTTCAGCACCAGTTTTGGAATCGATTCGGATGGAAGCTGTAATGTTTGTTTGCTTGCTTGTCTTCACCACCTACCGCCAACTCTTGGTCTATTATTTAACAATGAATAATGGGATTGACCGTCTTATTATAGTGCCTCGGCTGAAAGTGCGAGCATATTTGGGAACGGGTTTCAATTCTACGATTAAAATGTCCTAATTACCAGACCATGTCAGGCCCAGAAGCTGTAAAGGAATGTAGCTTTTATGGCAGAAGTATAAAATTTGGTAAACGTGTGGATCTTTCCATACTTTACCATTTAATATTGGTGTCACGAAAAAGTTACCATGGATGATTACAAGCTGTTAGTGTGGCTATTATGTCATATTGTTGTAAGTGAGCTTTGTAACTTAGCGTCTTTCCAGTAGGCTATTAATCAATGGTTACAAGCTTTTACTTTTAGAGACAGCACTAATGTATTATTTACCAATAAATAACAAGCTGAGTACACGCATAAAAACGTTTTTCTCAAAACAAAAATGTAATTTTGACCTACTGTTGCTGGGTATTTTGTTTTTTACAAATACAATAAAAAATCTGAAAACGGGTATATCTAATTTAGTGAAAATCACAATGATTAAGAAGACTCTCATAATTTTGTGATGTTCGTCATTATATTACCTGGGCTAAATGAAGCTAGGGAAACAGTTCATTGAAGGAATGCTGTTCCCGATATCTGCCTTTTTCTTGCATATGTATATAGACATATCAATAGGCAGAGCACTTGAAAATATAGTGTAACTAGAGGAGCACTCAGTAGAGCGCATACCTCCACCACGCAGCGTTGATCATGTTCGGCTCTGAAAAATACGAAAATGTGTCCGTATGTCCGTCGTTATCAATCTATACTGACCATTTTTGGCAGGACAATGATTAATAATATTCTACGTATGTCCATCAAGTTTCATCAAAATTCGATCATTTTTGACTGAGTTATAGAGCAGATGTAGTGTGAAAAATCGTTCCCCATGTTAACAGATAGGGATTTTTTTTTAATTTTCGTGTATTCGTTTGACCCTAAAAAACTAACCACTTCTCAGTTAGGTCGTACTCAAGTGTGTATACCAACTTTCGTCCAAATCCCCTCAGCAGTTTTCAAAAAATCTTGCTGACAAACACATACACACACACACAGGGGTGAAAACATAACCTCCGTCCACCTTTGGTTGCCGAGATAATTAACATGTGTACTGAATTAGAATTAAAATTAAGTGTTATTTAATTTGATTTTGGTTAATGTTTATGATGTATGCACACAGACTAAAAATGTATACCTTGCACTGTAACTGCTATTCCCATACTATGATTTAACAGTTCCACGGCTTCGTGTCAGTTGGCGGTCAACTTGGGGTGAAGAAATTCATAACAAGCTTTTCCAAATCAAACCTTTTGTTGTTCTTTAGCCACGAGGATCGGAGGGAGGAAATTCTCTAGACTACGTACTGGCCATAGTTTTTTAACTCATCGTTTTTTTGTAGGACTGATTCGCCTATGCGTGGCTTTTGTGTTTTACTTTCGTGCCGTCATTACGACAGCGAACGACGACACCATTTTAGACATGTTTTTTCTCGGAGTTTACCTATGACCTTGGACAGTGTCATTAGCTATGGTGATACTGCTCACCTTCATTGTGTTTTTATATTTTGGCAATGACCTTTTAAATTCTATTTAATTTCTTACCTGACTTTTGTTTAGCTTTTAACTTGTTTTACATTTACATTTTATAATATTTTACTTCTAGCATTATTAGTTATCCCTTAACTTTTTAGGGATAGGATCTTTAAGTTTTCCTTATCAACCAATCATGAAACTAAAACATAACGGCCCACCAGTGGCACAGCTGTATGTCTGCGGACTTACGACACTAGAATCCGGGTTTCGATACCCGTGGTGGGCAGAGCACACATAGCCAATTTTGTAGCTTTGTGCTTAATTACAAACAAACAATAAAACATAACTCCCTTGATCCACCTGGAAATCAATATATAATGTCTACGTATCCACTAGTCCCCCAGTGACACAGCGGTATGTCTGCGGAGTTACAACACTAGAATCCGGGTTTCGATACCCGTGGTGGGCAGAGCACAGAGAGCCCATTTTGTAGCTTTGTGCTTAATTACAAACAAACAAACGTATCCACTACAACGTCACGCGACTTTAACGAGCATTCAATTACCTGCGTAGGGTTTAGTGTTAATTAAGTAAAATTAAATTATAGCGATATATACATATATATGTAAAAGAGTCCAAGTGCACTACAATTCCACATTCACAATGGTTAAAAAATGAATACGCGAAAGGGCAGAATTATTTTCACTCGTACACATACCGTATTCACATACAAAAACCGCCTTTTAACTCACAAGATAATACCAGTTAAATCATTTGACAAGTTATTCTTTCCTCCAGAGGAATCAAACCTCTCTGGTTGTTTAGAGGAGGATCATACTGTTTTAGTAAACCGATCTTGAAGTTAGCTGTGTTGCCGTTATTTCGATGGATTCATAAGAGAGTTAAAATGGAATGTTCGGATGACACTGTGAAGGTCAACGTCCACACCATTGGAAATATCGATTTTTTAAAGGTTAGTCAAATATATTTTGTGTTTTGTAATGTTGTTATCGTCTTTTAGGCTGATAAAACATAATAAAATATAATATAAAAACCTGATAGTGAACGGTGATGAATGATTACAAATAATTATATGATTTCTTTCTTTTTTTCTCAGGTGACCCAACACAAATTGTAAAACAAATGTATCTTACATTAGGCCTTGCTTGTGTGGTGTAATCCACATTAGTTCTGTGAGTTTGTTTCTCCAACCTAAAAGTTGTATTTGTTTTCAGCATGAATATTTTAAAATTGCTGTGGTCTTCCGTTTGATTCGGCCCTTTGAGTTTGCGCTGTTAGACGAGTATTTTAACGTAGCTATGGGTTTTATGTTAAAACACAACTGACTTTAGTATCGGAACAATTTGACTTGGTTTTCTGTTTGTTATCGACTCCTGAACGAGCCTTGTACATGTAAATAAGTATCATTTTTTAATATAAGACATTTATATATGAAATATATTTATTCCAAATCACAAGCTTTGAGCAACCGGCTTCTTGTCTTAATATACATACTGTTACGTCTGTGTTCGTTTGTTAATTTTCCGTTGAACTTATTTCCGAGAAATTTCAGCGATACAAGTCCTTTTTTAAATAAAACTAGTTTATTTCCTCTCAATACAACTTTGCAATACACTTAAACACACGCTAGAATTTACAACGATTCACGCATTTCACTATCGCGCTTGACTCAATTGTCCGTCTCTGTCTCTGCTTGTCTGCAATTCTAATTCCGAATAATTTGTCTCACGTTATCCGGCACACTTATATACAGGAATAGAGGGCGCCTTGCACATACTGGATTATTCGTGATGTTCCCCGATCCTTCTAGAATATCATGACGTATTACCAGCGTCACGTGACTACCGCTGTCGTAACACTGCCCCTTCCTTAGTATTGTTCGTCCCGAACAATAGCCACTTACATTAAACCAATAGATAATTAACAATAACTTAATTAAATGTACAGAATTTACAAACACAAAATTAAAATTCAACAAAGTCTCTTAATTTTACAAGAGATATCTTCTTCCGTACTGGTCTCCATCTCGTTGGCTTCTTCTTCACGTGGGGTTCATCTGCTCCATCGTTAATTCTCCTATTATCGGTAACAGTCACATCAGTGGTAGTAACTTCATCAAGGGCTTCACTGTTCTCCTTCTCAAAACCGGGTAGAGTTTCTTCTTCGATAGTGGCTTTTTCAGGTGACACGTCTTCAGCGGAGTCATTTGTTCCATTGTTCACTTCGTTCCAACGGAAATGTACTGGACCGTGATAACGCCAAAGCCTGTTGGCATGCGCCACCTTTGGCTTATCTCGCCAACCACATTTTATCCGGAAAGTCACGTCTGAGAGACGATCCACTATGTCATATGGGCCTTCCCATGGAGATGACAACTTAGGAGACTTCTCTTTGGTCTTCCTGTGATTATACAACCACACCTTGTCTCCTGTTACAAAGCTGATTTCAGTAGATCTCTTATCATAGCATAAATTCATCAAATCAGCAGACGTT